AGGACTTGAGGTCACTTCTGGAAATAGCAGTCAGGCATCCAAAAACACCACCAGACTCCAATTCGTGCTATTGCTTATTTGACAGCTACTGTAGCCATCTGTCCCTATCTTTCTACCTAGCTAGCTAAACACGAACACGGACATGAATCACAAAAATCTGCAAATCATTTATTTTCACCCCAAAAATCTTTAGACCAGCCCCATGACGGTTCAATGAGCTCCAGTGATGAGACCATCATCCGATTGACTAATTTGAAGGTCTTGTGTGTGTCACCGCAGCGCTGGTTGACCAGTCCCGTTAGGAGGTTGAGTCAAGGAAAAGCAGATGGACAGAAGAAAGCTCCGATTCGAAACAGGAGGCGAGACAACAAGCTGGAAGTGACTATTCCCCTCACAGGGAACTCGACAATGGTAGGAGCACAGACAAGAAAGAATGAATAAGCACACAAGACAAAAATCTGTTTGTCATTCATTCTTTGTATTATATTGTCAATTGACATTCTAAAATAACACTTAAAAACACACAAGTACAGAGTCGTGCAAAGAAATGACTCAACTTCTGGTACGAGCCAACATTCTGCCTTTGTTTTTTGTTTTTGCTTTTGACTTGAGTCAGTTACTCAACTCACAGCTTGTCAGATCCAATTAGGAAGAACAAAAGCTTTAAGCTGTTTATTGCCACTCCTAGATTGTTGAACTCAATACAATATAACACACCTTGTGGATTTAAAACAACCACATAGGTAGGTTGGCATGTCAGTAAGCTAGCTTAAAGCTAACGCTAGCGTATACTGTATGTTTTGCTGCTGTAACCCTTTAAGCAATCGATTGAACGCAAATGGCACAGCACTGTACTCACAATTGGATATGCTTCATCACCTACAACGTTTGCTGCCAAATCGCGCCTGTCTTTCAAGTACTGCCCCCAGGTGGCCAAGACGGGAACAACACAAATAGGAGCACAATGGCCATTTTATCGATATAGTGCGGCGTAAACTTAATTCTTGACCTTCGATTTAATTATTACGGAATGCTATTTTTGCACATTAAAATACAAATTTATAAAATGTTTTACAATTTTGGGGGGAAGAAGGCTGGAACACATTAATGGCTTTTCCATTCATTTAAGGGGTAAAAGATTTGATTTGAAATACAAAGTGAGTGATAATGGAATAAATTCAACTTAATTCTCAAGGCACCACTGTAGTTTTTATTCAATACAAAGAGCAAATAAAATGTGACCAGATTTTTCATCGTGTATCAGTGACAACAGCAGTTGACTTTGTTGCTTTCTGTGCAAAGAAGGCAAAGAAGGAGGAGGCGGGACAAAGTGGAGGAGAGGAGGAGCCAGAGGAAGAAAGCACCACCCCTTTACCACCTCCCATGCAGATCATCAAAGATCCCAACAACACCGCGGTAACATTGAATTCATGACCACTTTTCTTTTTCTAACTCGCTGCCGTGTGC